TGTGCTCTAGATCCGTTATTTCTCAAGATATCTTAAAGGTGTAAAATTCAAATCATATCTATATTTTGAGGGTAATTTGATGATCCAGTCAAAACTTTTATTTATTTTACCTAACTTTATTTTATTCGAAATAATAAACTACTGTGCCACCCTATCTCTTATGGAAACATTTACCAGGGAAATCCCGATAGACGGGTTTGATTATTTTTTATGCTCTTTCCAACGATGTGCTATTCGTTATGCTTTATCCTTATATATTAAAAGACACTAACGAATAAATTTGATATATAAATGTAATATTTATTTAAAACATTTACTTTTTGAAACAAACATAAAAGTTATGAAATACAATCTGAATAGCGTTTACATAAAAAAAAGTTATTTTAAAAAGCTATTTAATATTAAAAGCATAAATATTATTAAAATTTTATTTAAAATGGTTATTATTAAGTATAATATTAAGCATGATATTAAGCATGATAGAATATAATTTTCTAAATATATATAATTTTTAAAAATCTTTATTACTACTATTTATTTAATATCAGTGCTGAAAAATAGTGCGACGACACTCAACCAAGCATGAAATAAAATTGCCAAATTCACAAACTGTACACTAATCATAGACTGAAAAATATGTTTTATAGGTGAAAATTCCACCAATTGAAACCTATTTGACTATCAATAATTTTAATTCATTATTAGTGTACAGTTATAGCGTTTGGCACTTTTATTTCATACTTGCACTCAGCTCTATCATATATATAAATTAATTGCATAAAAATAATTAAATAGTAATATTTGAATAACAATTTTTTAATTGCTATACGCTGTATAAGTATATAAATATATAAATTTAAACATAATAAGCTGCATCGTATAAAGGTAATAAATTAAGCTCAAACTTAGCCACGTGCTCGTCTGGCTGGTAGGGTAGAGCGCATGTGCGAGCACAACAGCACTCGGCCGTTATCTTCCAGCACGACCACCACGTAAGCCTTGCGGCCCTCGAAGTTCCAGGTGAACTTGATGGTTCGTGCCGTACCGTCCTGGGACCAGGTAACCTCTGTTAAACTATCCAGGTGCCGGATGGTTTGCTGGGCCAGTCGTATGTAGTCCGATTTTGGGTCAGTAGGGTGTTTGGCCAAATGGTAGGCCGCGCTGCGAGCACTACCAAACCTGACCGTTTGCGTTCTGATTTGAGCGATCAACTCCGTGTCGGGTAGATTTTCAGGCACTTGGCTGACCCCGATCATTTGGTGGTTTGTAACAAATTCAATTTCCGCGTTAAACTCGCTGGTTAATCGGGTGCGAGCATCCTGGTCACCAAGTAGTTTATTTACGACAGTCTTCCCTATGAAGAAATCCATTGATAATTAAGTCAACACTATCAAATTAATGTCTTAAGCTAATAGCTATTTAATAATATTATTCAATAATTTTAAACTAATCGCCATAATTGTATTTGTTATTAAGTATTAAATTAAGAAATTAACTATTTTAAATAACACCCATCAACCACATACCAGAAAGTGTGGATAAAATTGTTTTATAATTTGTCACAATTTGTCAAGAGAAATTGTTATAATTAAATAGTGCCAGTATTAGCAGTATTTGAATCGCATATATATTTTAAACAATTATATTATTTTTACAGTTTGATGGATTATATAAAACAATTTTATTCCAACGTTTTTCCCACTACTGTACTTATTGTGTCCTTATCCCCGCGTGAAGTGGACAGTATTAGCGCAACATCATCGTCAATACGGGTCAGCGCGTACTCCACGTTCGACGCAAACTCCGATACACTGGTGGCCTCCTGGAGCGCCCATGTGCTGACCATTTCCGGGAACATGGCCATTTTCCAACTGAGGCCTCTAGTGGCCAGACAATCGCGCATGGCGATCAATCTGTCCATTTCATGGGGCGGGTAACTGTCATGGGGGCGACCACTGAGCCGGTTCCGTGTGCGCACCGCGTTATACCAGTGCACGGCATCGCGTCTTTCCTGCTCAAATTTAAATCGCAGTGACTTTGGTATTTGTCGCCGTAAAGTGTCCAGGTGACCATCCCATTCCTCTAATGCCTTAAATATCGTGCAGCGCAATGGTGGCTCAATTTCGCTGAGCCGTTGCAGACTTAATCGCAATAGGGGCTCAATTTCGCTGAGCCGTTGCTGACTTAACCGCAATTGTCGGCGCAGCATTAATTGCCCGTTGCCCTCAACGTACACGTCTAGTTTCATGAGACCTTCGCTGTACATTTGACATAGTAACCGGCCCGCCTGGTAGCCGTGCTGGTATGGTAGCCGGCCCAACCACGACAGTAACTCATTGTCGTTATTATAGATGGTGCGAATTTTGTTAAATATGCTCGACTCCGATGCTGTGTAATTATATAAGGTTAAATACATTGCGCTAAAATTTTGTTATACTGGTCATGATGTGTGAGAATACAGTTTTTTGTTTGGCGCGTAATTTGAAATGCGTTCGTAATTTATATCACATTTCAAATTACGCGCTAAACCAAAAACTGTATTCTCATAATCATGGACACTATATTAGTTGATATACTGTATATTACAAAATGCAATACGATAATATAAAATGGGAAATTTAAACTTCTCAGTGAGTGTTGAGTACGTATTCAAGATATTGTTTCACTGGCTCATAATAAAAGCATACATTTATTACAAATATTAGAATTATATTAAGTTTTTATTGGCTATATATCAGGGGTACGAAACAGTGTGCCCCCTGTGTTCTGCCAATGCCACATATGCTATAACACGTGACATCAATTGCAAACTTTAAGCTCATAATTCACTTATAAGAATTGTAGTTAAAACATTAAAAATGTAATTAGTTATTTAAACCATATATTTTCTACTTTATTAATGATTACAGTCCATTAATTATATTTTAATATAGACTGTAATCATTTAATAAAGTAGAAAAATTATAGTTTAAATAACCTGTTACGCTTTCAATGTTTTAAATACCAATATTTTAAGTGAATTACGAGCTTATAGTCTGCAAATGTTTTGTAATATTAGACAACATACCCTGATTATAGTATAAATAAAGTAATAATACAGGATTTTACATTTGGTTCCCAATAAACATGTTAAAAAAAGATGTTGGATTCATTACATTTTATGTCATAAGTTATGACTCATAACTAACAATATACAGAACTATCAATTATGTTCCAAATGTAGTGAATTTCCGTTTATGACAGATAGTTTGTGACTATAAATTTGACTTGAAACATTTTTGTAACCAACTACTAAAACTGTAAAATAATAATTGATAACAATTATTGATATTCAAATACTAATTGTGACATTTTTACATACAAAACATATTTTCCATTCTATTATTAATTTTCAGTTTTCGCGTAGATTTACATTTCATATTTGTGACACTACACACAAAAAGTACAAAACATCAAATTATTATGGGCAAATTCAGTACCTTTTAAAATGAAATGACACTTCTATGAATTGTTAGTAATTCACATAAAAGTACTAAACCTAACATCACCCCCTGTATTAAGAATCCTCTATAAAAATTTATATTATAATTATGTCCGTGTAATGAAGCAACTTTAAAAACGTATTCAAAACCCACCGAGGAGATAATTTCAAGTCGTTTTGTATAATCATAAATATATAAAACATATAAATATATACTGTGTAAATAGCAAACTAGTATTTTCCCAGCGACTTGGGTATAACTCTAAACTAAGATCTCTCTCTATTGTAAATGTATAATACAATGATAAGCAAAACAATATACAGGGTGGCACAATAAAACATAAAATAATTTTCAAATATTTTTATTTTCAAATAATTAAAATAAATTACATAATGAGGCCATCAGATGTTATGTGGATTTGATTAAATTTAACACAAATATCTTTCAATGTTTTCACCTAACATTTTCATTAGAAATAGTTTCATTAAATAAACTTAAATGTTAATTGAATTAACTTAAATATGCGCTGGATTAACTTAATTGTGTATTTAATTAACTTAATTATGAACTAAATTAAGTTAATTATGAACTCAATTAACTTTTTGTGAATTAAATTAACTTAACTATGAACTAAATTAACAATTATTAATTCAATTAACTTAATTATGCACTGGATTTACTTAATTATGAGATGAATTATTATTAAATTAAATAATTGGTTAATTTAATTTTAAATTATTAATTTATTCACAATATAATTAATTCAGTGAATAATTAAGGTAATTCAATGCACAATCATGTTGATTCAGTGCATAATTATGTTAATCAAAACAAATGCATACAATTATAACTTAATGTAATGTAAAATGATTTTAAATACTGTATAAATAAATTATTTTGAAGCAAAAGTATTATAATCCCTACACTATCTCATCACCCTGTACACTGAACGTTATCAGTAATGTTTGTTTAGTGCCTAGATTTTTGTTTGTTTAGTAATAGGTGCTGAGCTTATCACCTGGATTATACCCAACTCGCTGGGAAAAAGCTAGTTTGGTACATAGACGTAACATACGATTTAACGGTAAAAGATATTCAGTAATCGCCCGATATTGAATCGGCTGAAAACTTTCCAATTGTGCCAGGGTGAATGAATGGCCACTGGCTATCACTATGCTATTGCTTTCGAATCGCGGATTCAGTCCAGCCGCGCCCGACCCAGCCCGCTGGTACATGTAGGTCAGCCCGCGGGCCGCATCGTTGGGACTAATTTGATAATGGTCCGCTATCTGGCCGATCAGGTTAAATAATCTTTCGTAACCAATATGGCGGCGCATCGCGTCAAAACTATCACCGTCAATGGCGTCCCAGTGGCCGCCCAACACCCGGAACATCACGGCTCGCGTCGGAGCCGGGTAGCGCTCTAAAAGGGACTTGTCGTACTGCCGTACAGTTGTAGAGATCCCCTCGTCGGCGATCAGATAGACTTTGCCCTGGTCGTCGATATAGTAGTTGGCGCCGCTCGACTGTAGCTCGGCCAATATCTGAGCGCCAAGCACTGGCGAACTGGTGCCGCCCCCCGCCCGCATAAATCGTATAAATTCAGCGTCGTTATTGTGCGCTCTGCGGGCGTTTTGAAAGTGTTGCTGATCATTCTCGTTTAGGTCGCGGGTGACGCTGGCGAAAAACCCTTGTCGCGCTTCGGTGATAATCTGCCCGGCCGTACGGTAACTGTACATCCCTATAGATGTTTCATATTATAGATTTGACATGCATTAGCATTTTTAATATCAATTTCGAATGATATATTGTAGCTCAATGGATAGCCTGGGGATCATTCATTTAGTACGTACGCAAAGTTAGGGCGATGGGGGATCAACGGAACCCATATGTTAATGTTAAATTCCCAATAGACTACTCGCCAAAATAATGTACGGTGGGGGAAGGGGATGTTATTCTAGAAATATAAACAAGGCTTGCAAGCAATGCTATAATCTAACCACAATTCAAGTAATGCGGTAGAGTTGAAGCGGTAATGGGAACGGGTGAAAATAATATATAACAATAGACTTAAGATGGGATCCCATGTTAAACGCCCATAGGGCCATGAGCCCAAGTTAAAGTATAGTCCATAGACTTAAGCTGGGATCCCATGTTAAAAACCCATAGGGCTAAGAATACCATGTTAAATATAGGACAATTTTCTCATAGGATAACATGGAATCCCATGTTAAACTCCCATAGACTCAAATTCCATGTTAAAGTGCCATAGGAATAACATGGGATCCCATGTTATTTCCCATATGGGTGTGGGGTAAGGGGGTCTCAGGCGATATTATATACCACATCTTACGAATTGTGTTTAAAAATTAGCGTACGTACTAACTTAATGTTCCACTGCATTAAACTAAATATCGCACTTGATGTATCGCTTCCTATAGTTATAGGGTTGTTATGTAAAAGTGGCATTGTCAAACACGAAAATATTCCGGTGATAATTTCATACCTTTCACAAAAAATGCCGTTTGCAGAAACTGTAGCACGATCTCCACGGGCGTGGCCTGGTCAATATGATCCAGCAACTCCAACCAGCCGGTCACCACGCACGCGGAATGGGAGCTAAACGAGACGGCGTTCAGCGTGTTGACCACCGAGCGCAGGGCGATTGTGATATTTTCGCCTTTAGCTGCCAGACTGGCCAGTCGCATGGACGCGCCCATGGCGCCAATGCCGAGAATGTCAGCCGCCACACCGAGCCAGATCTGGCGGGCCCGGGAATCGGTAATCGGGTTCATCGACTCGCCGTGCCTCACGCGGTCGGTGATCTCCTCGGCCGACCGAAACAGCCCATACGCGGTAAGCACTTCCAGCGCTACGGGTATGGCCAGACCACCGGTGAATAAACCGGCCACACCCAAAGCTGCACCGCCAACGGCGGCCGCAAAGTCCACATCCTTCACTATAGTAGCCCACATAGTGTTCGATGGCGTCGCTACAATAGAACAATCTGGCCATCCTGGGTGCGTTGGCGAACTTTGTAGTTTACCGCAATTGGGATAGACCACAAATCCAGCTGGCAGCTATAAATGAGAGTTGATAATTAATATACCCATTGAAATATCTACTAAACACTACACACCTTATTGTTAGTCATCCAGTCGTCCCAATCCTTATAATAACGGCCACAGTTGTCCACAAACCGACGCACGTCACGCTTGTCCAGCACGCGAAACACGGGCAACTCGTACAGCTTGCTCTGGTAAGCCAGCACAGTGGGCAACACGCACACGCGTACAGTGCGCGGGCACGTCTCGTCAATCATGTTCTTGATCACTTCAATGGCTTGTAAGCTGGTGCCGCGAAAATAGCAAAATTGATCCTGGCGCGCTCTCTCAATTTCCATTTTAGATTGCGGCAACGTCACCGGCAGGCCCATGGCGAACCCGATCGTATTACGTAGCCTATCCCCGTACAACTCCTGGTAGCCGTCCGGGTCGGGCCGGTCTAAGTAGTGTTCGATTATTGTCTGGGCTGCCAGTAGGTCCCCTTGACTTATTTTGTCCGACATATTTTGTTATTGTGTGTATTACGTGTAGCTCACTAATTATTTATTAACTAGGATACGGAATATACAGTATATATTGTATAAACTATAAATTTGATATTCGTTTTACTTGAAAAAAGTAGAATTTTATCACTACGGATAATGGTTTATCAATACTGTATATTGTATAAAATGTTAAGAATACAAGTAGGGTTGTTTAATATTATTTATTATTATTATTACTTTTATTATAATAATTATTCAAACCACCACCAATGACTGCTCCGCCAAGGACCAGTGAGCACTCCGAAAGGCACTAAATCAGCATGGACATCGAATGCGCTATTATGCCACAGCTTCAAGTACGAGTCAAAAGACTCCGAATAGCTGGCCAGCCTATCGAGTCCCTTGTTCACTAATTGACCACGGTCACCGTCAATGGGCACGTTGCGAAACAGATCGAGTATGTATTGATAGCCGGATCTGACCATGCACCATTCCTCGCTGAGCGCCTCGCCCGAGGTGTCGATGTTAGACTCCGGGTACGTTTGCAGGAACAGACAGATATTTTCCGACACGGGCTGAAATAGGAGCCGGGCCGTTTGCTCGATGACCTCGATGAGATAGGGGTTGAATGTCGGCTGGTTGGCCAATGTGGTCACACAGGACGCGGCGCAGCACTCGCCGATTTGCAACAAATCGGCAAACAGTTCGCAGCACAGGTGCCGGAAGTTTTCCCGCTGAACACCCTGGTCAGCAGCACTCGGTGTGAATTTGAACTGGTTCACTTGCGTGAGCTGTGGTACTATGGAGCGGAAAATGGTGAGTAATCTTTGCTGATTCATTCCATGGGCTAGGTAAGTAATGTTCACAAGTTTTGCTTAACTGGAAAGTGGAAAAATAAATTTTAAAAATAATTTTTAAATGTTAACAAAATAATATTATTTAAAATACATATTTAAATACGGAGCTAGCAAAAAATATTTGAATCATATATTTTTCACACAATACAAGTTACACTTTATATACTATATTTTATAATGTATATATTGTACTTGTAGTTTATAATATTACCAGTGAGTATATATAAAATTTATTTATACAATTTAATAAAAAACAAATAATATATTTAATATCCAGAATAAGTAATAACTAGAGAAGTTAGTGCTTAAATTTTGTCAAATTTAGCCTTAAATTAAACCCTATTTGAACATTTAACTTTTACCCTAAATTTTGGAAGACACGTTCAATATGTACGTATGCATTTGGCGGGGTGAGGGATTTAAGAAAAGCATAAACTAATGTTACATTTCCATAAACAAATACCTAAAACTGCGTTTAAGGGGCTAAATTTTGTGTACATACTTATTGAATGTGCCTTGTACACTTAAAACACGTGATAATTGAATCAAATATAATTATTAAGATAATAATAATCGAAAAATTAATTGCTGTTAAGTCCTATGATAAGTCCTATTAATTAAAAAAATAATAAATCAAATCTGATATAGAAATTGCATTCATTATAATAAATATGTAATTTCTAATCATTACTCATATTTATGAAAATTTAACTTTTTTGTGAAACATAAGCCTAATGTTTTAGATCATTTGAAAATTTTGTTTAAATTTTCATCACTACTAATAACTAATTACTAGTAATTAGTATCTGTATAATAATTTTACGCAAAAATATGTTTACTTAAAAACAAAAATATTCTGCATTTGACTGGCGTCGACATTATTTAATGAGAATATGTTTTATGAGCAAGGTCAACTCATAGTTACACAAACAGCAATCATTTCAGTTTTCATTAGCAATCCAAATATATTCACAATATTTGGCTTGCTCATAAAACATATTCTCATTAAATAATGTCGACGCCAATCAAATGCATAATATTTTTGTTTTTAAGTAAATATATTTTTGCGTAAAATTATTATACAGATTATTATTCAAATGATCTGAAACATTAGGCTAATGTTTCACAAAAAAGTTAAATTTTCATAAATATGAGTAATGATTAGAAATTGCATATTATATATTTATACAAATTAT